AACTTTAGTCCTTCTACCATCCTACGATGAAGATTCTATTATTATTTCCATTTTACAAGTTAAGAAGCTGAAATGTTATGTAACTTACCTAATTTTACATATATGTTAGGAATCTATGACTGTGTAACAAATTATCCCAATTTAGTGGCTTAAGATGATACACATTTAATAGCTTCCCATTTCTGTAGGTCTGGAATGCATGTGTGGCTTAGCTGAGACCTCTGGTTCCTGGTCTCCCCAGCACTGAAGCCAAGGGATTGGCTGGGATGCAGTCATTTCAGAGCTTAGCTGTGGGAGGATCTTGTCCCAAGCTCACTCCTGTGATGGTTGATACGCTTTAGTTTCCGACCACCCCCAGTTCCTTCCCATGGGAGCCTCTCCACGGAGCAGCTCACAACATGGCAGCTGGAATTCCCCAGAGTTAGGACTGAAGGGGAGGGAGAAAGGAGGGAGAAAAAGATCTTTCCATTGATCTTTTTAGCCATAGATCCTCACCCAGTATCTGTCACAGTACAGGTGCTCAGTAATCAATAAAATCAATTTGCATAAAAACAAAAGATACATTATTTTATGTTGAGAAAATATTAGAAAGTCCATAATCCCTCCGAAGCCATTTACTTTTTTACTCTTTGAATTTTTGACAAAAAAAAAAATCAGATTCCCTAATCCAAAATTCTCATGCTTTAAGTCTCAATAAGTAAACTACTAAATAGCTTTCGTTAATTATTTTTCAAAATCAACCAGTCATATACTGATGTATTTATTTTTTCTCAAGCATTTGAGGCCAAGCACAATGGCTCATGCCTGTTATCCCAACACTTTGGGAGGCTAAAGTGGAAGGATCGATTGTGGCCAAGAGTTTCAGACAGTCTGAGCAACATAGCAAGACCCCATCTTTACAAAAAAATTTTAAAAGCTTAGCAGGGTGTGGTGATGTCTGCCTGTATTGTAGTCCCAGCTACTTGGGAAGCTGAGGTGGGAAGATTGCTTGAACCCAGGAGTTTGAGGTCACAGTGAGCTATGATGCTATCACTGCCCTCCAGCCTGGGCAATAGAGCAAGACCCTGTCTTAAAAAAAAAAAAAAAAAAAAAGGCACCAAAATCTTCTGTGAACTTTCATATGAATTAAGTTTTTTTTTTTTTTTTTTAATTATTATACTTTAAGTTCTGGGATACATGTGCAGAACGTGCAGGTTTGTTACATGTGCCATGGTGGTTTGCTGTACCCATCAACCTGTCATGTAGGTTTTAAGCCCTGGATACATTAGGTATTTGTCCTAATGCTCTCCCTCCCTTTGCCCCACTCCCTCACAGAGCCCAATATGTGATGTTCCCTTCCCTGTGTCCATGTGTTCTCATTGTTCAACACCCACTTAGGAGTGAGAACATGCAGTGTTTGGTTTTCTGTTCCTGTGTTAGTTTGCTGAGATTGATGGTTTCCAGCTTCATCCATATCCCTGCAAAGGACATGAACTCATTCTATTTTATGGCTGTATAGTATTCCATGGTATATATGTGCCGCATTTTCTTTATCCAGTTTGTCATTGATGGGCATTTGGGTTGGTTCCAAGTCTTTGCTATTCTAAATAGTGCAGCAATAAACATACATGTGCATGTGTCTTTATAGTAAAATGATTTATAATCCTTTGGGTATATACCCAGTAATGGGATTGCTGGGTCAAATGGTATTCCTGGTTCTAGATCCTTGAGGAATCGCCCCATTGTCTTCCACAATGGTCGAACTAATTTACACTCCCACTAACAGTGTGAAAGCGTTCCTATTTCTCCACATCCTTTCCAGCATCTATTGTTTCCTCACTTTTTGATGATCACCATTATAACCGGCATGAGATGGTATCTCATTCTAGTTTTGATTTGCATTTCTCTAATGACCAGTGATGATGAGCTTTTTTTCATATTTCTTTGCCGTGTAAATGTCTCACATGAATTAAGTTTTAAATTATATTATACAAGTTGCTGGTATAATTCTGAATTTTGTACATTTGGTAATTTATTTCCAAGGAGGGAGCAGATTTAGGGATAAAAACGGTTGTCCTTTTAGTCTCACTTTATAAAATATTCATTAGCTCAAGTGATGAAAGCAACATATTGAAGAGATAATAAAATACTGTTATGTTTTAAAAATGTTTTTGTCCCTGACTTTGAATTCCTTATGAAAAGAAGAATTTTAAGAACATTTTCTACTTATAACCATTTTATGAAAATTCATATTTTATGTATGTAATAAAGAACTAATGCAAACATGTGAGTTTTGTTAGTAGATGCTCCACCTTCTAAATGTACAATTATCCTATATTTACATTTCTCTCAATTACCTTTAAATCAGATATCAGAAAACTGTGGGCCACAATTCAAATTCGGCCCACAACCTGTTTTTGCTTTTGTAAGTAAGTATTTTAGACTATCTTATTTCCTCATAATGATCACCAACATTTATCACTATATGCTAGGACAAAGATCAATTCTTCTCAGATTCAGTATTTTTGAAGACTCCTTCTTCTCTTCCTCCTTCCCTTCCTCCTTCTCCTCCCTTTCCTCTTCCTCTTCCTTCTCCACTTGTTTTAGAGACAAAGTCTCACTGTCACCCAGGCTAGATAGAGTACAGTGGAGCTCACTGTAACCTCAAACCCACCTCAGCCTCCCAGTGCATTGGGAGTAGCTGAGACTACAGGCATGACCTAACATGTCCAGCTAATTTTTAAAATTTTTTATAGAAATGGGGTCTCACCCCATGACTCTGGCTGGTCTCAAACTCCTAATCTCAAGCCATGCCCCCACTCTGGTCTCCCAGAGTGCTGGGATTACAGGTGTGAGCTATCATGGCCTGCCAATAAGTTGTTGTGAAGCACAATCATGCTATTTTGTTTCTGTATTTTCTATGGCTACTTTCATGATTCAGTGGCAGAGATGAGTACTTGCGATAGAGACTGTATGACCTGCTGAGTTTAAAATATTTACTCTCTGGCCTTCACAGAAAAAGATTACCAACCTCTTTCTGAAAATGTTAAGCATTTTTATTGATGAACATGGTATAACTCTCTAATTATTTAGGTCTTATTTGGTTCTCAACGACTTTCACAATTTTCAGTGGGTTGGTCTTGCACATATTTTGTTAAATTTATTCTAAATATTTCATGTTTTTTGCCAATATATTTTCTTTTTAATTTTTATTCCCAATTGGTTGTTACTATTATACGTAAATGAAATTGACATTAATTTTTGTATATCGATGTTGTGTCCCATGACTTTGCTAAACTCATAGCAACTTTTTTGTTTACACTTTTTTATTATGTAGAAAATAATGTTATCTGTCAGTAAAATTGATATTCTTATCAATCTACATTCATGTAATTTCATTTTTCTTTTTTTGAGACGGAGTCTCGCTCTGTTGCCCAGGCTGGAGTGCAGTGGCACGATCTTGGCTCACTGCATCCTCTGCCTCCCAGGTTCAAGCTCAAGCAGTTCTCTGCCTCAGCCTCTCAAGTAGCTGGGATTAGCAGGAGAGTCCCTTGAACCCAGGAGGTGGAGGTTGCAGTGAGCTAAGATTGTGCCACTGCACTCCAGCCTGGGTGAGAGAGCAAGCCTCCATCTCAAAAAAAAAAAAAATTTCAGGTTGTCGTATGTCCCCTCTAGCAGTTCAATTTTGATGGGAACCACCTGTTGCAGGGATTCTACTTGATCTCCTTATTCAGTGTGAAAGGTCCCCTTAGGAACATTATCAGTTTCTCTCATCTCTTCAGTGGGGCTAGAGACCAGTTGCTGAGAAATCTAAACCAGAAACATGCGAAAGGAAGGCACAGCCACAGTCTCTGCCATTGTGAGCTCAAGTGAGACCAATATACACGCTGTCATTAGGGTGTGGAGACAGCAGGAGAAAGTATCTTCCCTTCTCCTGTCCTCAGATGCAAATTCTGAAGTTTCCTGCTTAAGGCCTATGGAGATGGCTGACCTGTTCAGCTCCCATGTAGGTTCTTGGGCCAGGGAGTTAGCAGCTTCTCTCTAGAACACATCCTTGGCCCAAATGTTGAGCTTCCTCCAGGAAGATCCTCACCCCGGAGCTTTCCCCTCAAGTCCCCAGACACTCAGGCCAGAGAAGAAAAATGCCCTGGGAGAATCTTTCAGGGCCTGAATCCCATTCTTCCATCCCACCCAACTCCTCCAGGCCAGAAGCAGGCAGCATGGCACGTTCATCCGAATCACCATCTTCCCAGAACTCTTCTAGAACCTTCATAGTCTGTTTCATTATTGCTAAAATCCTTTTTTTTTTTTACATAGTTGTATATGAATCCTTCATATGAATCATATTACAGTCATTATAACAGCATATCATATCCGTGCCATTTCCTCCTTGCATGGAAACCCTCTGAGGAGAGTGGCGTTTTAATTCTGTGCTCTCTTACTGCACTAATCCGATGTATTTATTTAAATAACATTAAATGATATTAACAGTGTATTGTGTTTCTAGACCAGAATATAACCACCCTTAAAGAAAAACCTGCAATATTCCTATTCTCTTTGTAGCCTCAGACATGTGCAGTGAGCAAAGACTTCAAATGCCATGTCCCTGGAGCACTCCTTGTTTACATTCATATTAAGTCCCTAGGAACACAAGGAATTTATTTAGCACCATGAGAGTTGTCTGCTTCTGTGGTTGTTCTACTGTGATTTCTTTGAATAATTTATCAGCTACTTAACACTCATCAAATTTGGCTTTTTATGTAGAAACTATCTGTAAGTTCTGTTAGTTTTTTATCTCAGAGTCTGAAATACTGTCATTTCAAATAAATGCTTTTCTCTCTAAACAAGAATTTTAATATTGGAGGAAAGAAAGAAGAACCTGGTGTATCCCGTGACTGCCTTATGGGATCTGTGTGAAGTGTCTGGTGCTTCTCTTTATGAATCTGGGCGTACTTGAACTCATTGTCTTCCCATACGTACTCACGTTTGCATCATTGCTCCTCTTTCTTTTTCTGTCTCAGGTGCTGGGGTTCCCCAGTTCCAGCCAATTGCCCTAAATGGCCGAATCCAAGTTCTCAGCAATGGGTCGTTGCTGATCAAGCATGTCGTGGAGGAAGACAGTGGCTACTACCTCTGCAAGGTCAGCAACGATGTGGGCGCAGACGTCAGCAAGTCCATGTACCTCACGGTTAAAAGTAAGAGAGAAGAAATGCTTCATTTTACCTAGTTTAAATGCATAGGTCTCTGGGGGCTGCCATTTTCAATTGTCTCCATGCATACCTGTTTAAAATCAACACAAAAGGAGACCCACTGGTGTGATATATCTGGGTTTAAAGTTTTGTTGTTCTGGAAACATGATTGAAGAAGATGGTAAACGTCCAGCCAATTGTTGACAGCGTGCCCAGGGCCCCTTGTGTGTGGAACATGAGCCACATTCTTCTCTCCCTTTGGTTCTCACAGCCATTGGTATGGGCTCTGGGCAACCTAGCAGATGAGTAGGTCTTTGCCTTTAACACCCACATTGCTACCCTGTTGATTTTCCTGTAGAAAAACCCAATACATGGTCTCAGATGTGCTCTTTACAAAGCCTTTTGTCATGCATTTTGTTGTTTGCAAGCTGGCTTGTCCATGGATTTCCTTTTAAGGACCATTTTAAAATCAAGTGACTAGTAAACAACTACACAACAGAAATGTCTAGGACTGGGCTTAATGCTGGCGCTGCTGGCCCAATGTATACAAAACAGTGCTTTATAATGAAATTATTTTCATACATTGGTCACTGGCAACCAAGGAATGGATATAAAGTGAACCAGTTTTACTGAGTCATGCTTATTAACAAATGATGGTGCATCTTGTTTATAGTGAATGGCTTATGCCCATTTATGTAATTTTCCCTTGAATGAACTGTGATTTCTTCTTGATTACAAGGCTTTATTCAGACTCCCCTCTCACCTTTTTTTTTCTTTTTTTTTTTTTTTTTTGAGGCAGAAGTTCACTCTGTTGCCCAGGCTGGAGTACAGTGGCGCCATCAAAGCTCACTGCAGCCTCAAACTCCTGAACTCAAGGGATTCTCCTACCTCAACTTTCTTAGTAGCTAAGATTACTGGTGTATGCCACTGAGTTCAACTGTTTTTTTGTTTGTTTGTTTGTTTTTGTTTTTTTACATGTTTTGTAAAGATGAGGGTCTCACTTTGTTGCCCAGGCTGGTCTCAAACTCCTTGCCTTGAGTGATCCTTCCCTCTTGGCCTCCCAGAGCACTGGGATTACAGGCATGAGCCACCATGCCTGGCCCTCAGATTTCCTCTTTTTTTTTTACTTTAATTCTGCCGTGAATAGTTTGGAAAAGTCTGTACCATATGATTTATTAGAAGGATGGGATTTAAAAGTGACATTCAGAAGTGTGTGTATTTGTGTGTGTATGATAGTGAAAGGCTAGCTAAACAGACAAGTATCCATCCTCACTCACTGAATTTATTTTAGTTAGTCCACTATTTCTGACAGAACAATAAAAACATCCAAGTGTTTATTTATTAAACTTTTATATTGTGAAATGGATTATAATTATGAAATGGGGTTGTTTTGGAATATATTTTGCACAAACTCAACACCTAGTTTTTGACTTTTAAATCATATGCTCTGGAGGAAATGATGTGCAAGAATTTGATAGCAAATTGTGGTATCATTTAAATCCAGAACTGAAATGGTAATTTTTAAAAGTTATAAATTGATGAAATAATATGGAGACCTAAAATCGGAAGAGCAGTGTTGACCAGAGTTGGTCCATCTTTCCCCAATGAAAGGGGTGTATTTTGCAGTTATTCTAATAGATTTTAAATGTATAAGATAATTTTCTAATCCATAAACACATCTAGGACCTAATATATATAAAACCCTATGAAGGATACAAGTACAATCAACCATGGACCTTACTCTCATGAGTGACAGGCTTTGTGTTTTGGAAGGGGAGATAACCAGGAAGAAGATAGAAGCCACTGATTATAATACAGGGTGAAGAGTCACATGGATCATGTCTGTGACATTCAGAGGAGGATGGGGGAATTAAGGAAATGTTGGCTTGGGGGAATTAAAGAAAGCTTCATGGAAAATAGGCTTCAAGAATAGAAGATGCCCCCACATGTCCTCTCTCCAGATCTCTGTACTCAGTGGTAGTTGTACAGCATCAGGGAGGACTAAGGAGATGAGCTGGCTCCTGCCCTCTGGGAGCTTTTGCGCTCTGGGGATAATTGGGTGGGTATATGTCCAATTCCTGTCTGGCAGAAGACACAATTGGTAGAACAGAGCCCAGAACACCAGCGTGCACGGAAGAGGGTGTGATTTGCTTCTGTTTGTAGAATCAGTGACCATGTGCAATGAACTGAATGTCTGTGACCCTTCAACGTCCGTATGTTGAAATCTTACCCCCAATGTGATGATATTAGAAGCTGAGGCCTTTGAGAAGTGATTGGGTCACAAAGGGGAAGCCCTCAGGGATGGAATTAGTGTCCTTATCGAAGGGGCCCCAGAGAGCCCTCCTATTCTCTGTTTCTACCATGCAAGGATACACAGGAAGGTGGCGACCTAGAGGAGGATGCTAGAACCTGCCCCTGCTGGCAGCCCCATCTCAGACTTTCGGCCTTAGAACTGTGAGGAATACATTTCCGTTGTTGGGAAGCCTCCAACGTGCGGCGCTTTGTTACAGCAGCCTCAGCTGGCTAAGAAACTACGGAATGAAAAGCTGCAGCATCTGAGTTCAGTCTTAAAGACACAAGGGGCTTCAAAAGGCAGGACTGTTGAGGGTAGAGAGGGTGTTCCGGGGAGAGGAGGCAGAGAAAGCAGATACGAGAAACTGAAAGATGCCAGGCACGAGTAACTCTCTGTTCGAATGTTCTGTGGTACATGGAGGAGACGGGAGAGGAGAACGTTCAAAGTGAACACAGTTCAAAGAGAGATGATGGAGTTGGCCACATTTTAGATTCTTAACCTGATACAAGCTAATCACGGAGAGGTGGATTTAAATAAGTTAAATGCACCTGTCCGTGGCTATTTGTTTTAGTTTACCTCTCTGGGCCTGGTAAATAGGAAGAACTATGCCATCTTCATAGAGTGATGAAAATTAAACAGAGTAACACATGTGAAAACACATTGTATGATATAAGATGTTCTAAATAAGTATTCCAATACATACCTAGAGTAAGTGATTCTTTGGTTGGAAAGAAAGAGAAAATATATTGATGGTGCCATGCATAGGAGCATTTCCAGAAAGTTGTTCTGAAAAAAGTTTAAAAGGCCACAGGCTAGGAAAGGGGAAAAAGAAAGAGGACCTCCATGGCCCATGGGGAGGTATTTTCATCCTTGTGTAATAGTCAGCCAAAGCTCAGCCCTGGAGTGGTGTCTTTAGAAACTCTAATGGCCAATGTCTTTTTCCTAACCCTGGTTGTTTAAGAACAATCAGTAAAGTGTTTGAAGATCTCAAACTGAAAAAAAAAAAAATTAGATATAAAGGAGAGTTTACTGATCTAAATAAACACATTAAGTATTCTCCCCTTTCTATAAGTCATTTTTAAAAATGAGCTGCAAATATTTCTAAATTCAATAGGGGAGACCTTGCTGTCTAATTGGATGACGTCAGGAAATTAAGACAGCTGCTCCTGCAGGAAGTCTGGACTCCCAGGATGGCCTGGTGCTGGCTGTAAACATAATTTAAAGACCCAGACTCTCCTGATGGGACCTGCTTCTGGGGACTCATACTGTGGGATCCTGCGAACCCAGCACGGATGAGTCTTCGGTATGGGAAATTTTCTTACTGCTTTCAAGAAACAGCACTCCAAAAATAAAGCATTTTAACAATAAACACCCACCACACACACACACACACACATCTTTTTGTTGTTGTTATTGAATCAAGCATAAGGAAGCCACAGGCAAAGAAGAAAGCCGGCAAGCGTGTATGGAATTGTCTTGGAAAGCAATCAGTGGGATGGAAGGTTACTGCATGCAAATCTGTCCAGCTCTGTCGGGGTTCCTGCCTGTGAGTCTACACTGTCATCACAATTCTGGTTTATGTTTTACCCAAAATAATTATCATGTGAGATAACGATTAGGAGCCTTGGCAGAAAAGGCAGAGGGAGTAGGCTCTGCTTGCAATCAAATTTGGCCTCTGGTGATGACATCCTGCCCTATGCTCCAGGCCAGTCAGGGGCTGCAGAAACTATACCACATATGTGCTCCTTCCCCCAACCAGGAACTGTTTGAGGCCCAGGGAATGCCTTTATGTTAAAAAAAAAAAAAAGAAAAAAATAGCTCTGCCAATCGAGGAAAATAACGAGACAAGTCTTAATCATTTTAGGATATTTATTTGCCAAAGTTAAGGATGTGCCTGGGAGACAGGTCTATTCCTTTCTCCAAAGGTGATTTTGAGGGCTCCAAATTTAAAGGGGAAAGGATGAGATACTGAGAAGCACACAGTTTTCACATAAACAAAAGGGGCAGAGGAAAACTGGGGAATGTGCATTTTACATGACACAGACCAAATGGGGAGGGGAACATTCAGTTACGCGTTTGTGTCTGGTGGGCGGGGCTACTGCATCTGTAAAGATAAACTATCAAGTTGCATTGCCATGGTGAAGTTTTAACAGCTCACCAGGAATTTCCTTGTGGGCAAAATATGAGGGAAGCGTGTAACTTTTCATCTTGTAGCCATCTTCTTTAGGAATTAAAAGGTGGAGGCAGGTTTGTGTGACCCAATTCCCAGCTTGACTTTTCTCTTCGGCTAAACCAGTTTAGGGTCCCAAAATTTAATTTCCTTTCACAGCTCCAAAAACCACTGAATCTCTTAAATGGATAGCCATCACTAAGGTTTGTCTCAGACGCCCAAATTACATCCTCCCTGCTCCCAACTTTCTGCCACTGGCCGATCTGAAGCCTCATGTTTCCAGGAACACTGATTTCAGCATGAACCTGTGGCCCACAGTGAACAAGCAGCTCTGCTTTTGTGGGCTGCTCTGCATCGGTCCTTTCTGATCCCCGCATGCAGGACAAAAGAGCACCGCTTATCAAACAGGAGCAGGCGCTTCCCTGGAGAGTCAGTTACTCTTGGAATCTAATGAACCCCCAAGCTCCCACAGTTAGCCCGTGGGCTCCAGTCCAGCCTAGGTAATGTGGTCTTCCTCCTCCATGCTGAATCCGGGAAGGTCTG